TGGCGAGACCTCATCTCTACAATAAATAAAAAATTAGCTGGGCAAGGTAGCATGCGCTTGTAGTTCCAGCTACTTGGAAGGCTGAGGCGGAAGGATGGCCGGAGCCCAGCAGGTAGACGCTGGGGTGGCCGTGAGTGTGCCACTGCACTCCAACCTGGGCAACGGAGTGAGACTCCAACTAAAAAAATAATAATAAAAAGATAGTCCTTACGTCATTACACACTCTCACAAGAACTGTGGTAAGTGTATTAAAGATTATTTTTAACTTAAGGTAAATAAAGGGAGAACATTTTATCTATTAAGAAAAGTGGGAACTCTGCTACCAGTTTGAAGTAGATTGTTGGACTTTTTACTGTGGGCCTGTCCTGAAGAGACACAGCTGTGTCCTCAGGGAAATATTTGCTAGGATGCCGGGTAAAAGAAAGTGATAGGACACCTGCTAGGCTATTTTTAAATGAAAGCATAGAAGTTGGCAGTGGCAGATCCCTTTCGGCTCATTATGCTTTCCTTTCTAATCAGTCCTTCCTGTTTGTACCCTCTCTTCCTGTGTGTTTTCTGGCATTAAAGTCAGTGTATTACAGTTTTTAAGTAGACTCATTATAAAAACGTTCTTTCAAAAACTGCTTACAAGTAAAGGGCATTTCCTACTTAAATTTCACAGTAATATTTTTCAGTTCTAAAAATAACTTGGAATTCAGGGTGAACCATTATCCTAGATAAAACACACTAAGACAGATTGAATCCATGAGGTAACCAAGACAATAATTTGTTAGAATTGAAAATAATCTGATTTCAACCATGAGACTACCTGAAATTAAACAACATATAGTATTTAATCCCTTGCAGGTGACATACTTTTGTTCTGGGATGTGACTTGCTTTAATTTGTTGTAGTGATCGTTTGCTGAAATGAAGCTGCATGAATGTTGTTTTTTAATGGCAACTGGTAAGTAGTTAAAATTGGCTTGTGAGTACTTTTGTTCCACAGACTTGAGGTTTGGACTTGTGTTCATTACTAAGTGAGTATAGACAAATAAAATAACATATCTGGGCCTTAGTTTTTCCTGTAATCCAAGGGGATTTGATTAGATTATTTCCGTGATTCAGTCTCAGTCAACAGACATTTGTGTGCTCTCACCACACAGAAGGTCTGGGAGGCAGAGAAAGGCCAAATCTTCTTCTCAGAGAATGGCCATCTAGGTAGGGAGGCGGCTATATAGGGAAATCATTGTGGTACTTTGTGACAAGCCACAGATAATGTACTGAAAAGGAAGTGATTAGCCTTGTCCACATATGAAAGTCAGGGTTGCTGGGAGGCTTGAACGGTTTCAGAGAGGAGATGGTGCCCAGTACTTGAAGGTTGAATAGGAATTATCAAGGTAGACAGCAGGCAAGAACCAATCCCTCAATTTTTCTTCTACCTTCCATTTACCAAAGTATTTGCATTTAAAGAATGCAATTCCTATTCTGTAATGAAAGCTTTTGAAGTTATTATTTAATATTTCGTGTGCATCCTTGGTACCATTTAGAATATAGGTTTAATCTAAATATTGAGGCTGGGCTCGGTGGCTCAGCCTGTAATCCCAGCATTTTGGGAGGCCGAGGTGAGTGGATTGCCTGAGCCCGTGGGTTTGAGACCCACCTGGGCAACTTGGTGAGACCTTATCTCTACAATAAATCAAAAAATTAGCCGGGCGTGGTAGCGCGCACCTGTAGTTCCAGCTACTTGGAAGGCTGAGGAGGAAGGATCGCCGGAGCCCAGCAGGTCAGGGCTGCGGTGGCCGGAAGCGGCCACTGCACTGCGGTCTGGGCGACAGAGTGAGACTCCAACTCAATTAAAAAAAAAAAAAAATCTAAATATTGAGTTAGCTTAGAAAGAGATGGCTTTGATAAGTTGTCAGGACACTGCGGAGCTATTTCTCAAGTTTTGTCAATTCTGTGTATTTGACTTCACGAGTCTTTGTGCTGATGACCACTCTACTATATTTCAGTGAATCAAATTCACTTTAAAAAGCCTTTCAGTAACTAAAATCAGCTTTTGTTGTGTTTCTATTCCTGCTGCAAATCTTTTGGCATCTGCTTGCTGTAAAGAGTCAATAAGGAGATCCCTTCCTTCTCTCTTTGAATGCCCTGCCATGAAGAAAATTTCATGAAATATTACAGGGCATTTTAATGGATGGAAAAGCAATACAAACGACCAGATTAGCTATGTGCTTCAAATAGCATTGGTTCATCTCCTAGTAGCCCTTGCCACATGGTAGTTTAATGTTTGTTGACTGAGAGTTCTCTTCACTTAGTCCATACACTGGTCTTAGGCTCTGGGTCTTGTTTATTCATTGATGTGATCCTAGCCTCACGTCTTTGGTGGGTCCTCAACAAATATTTGTTGTCTGACTGAAAGAAGGATGAAATATAAATGACTTAGTGTTTCAAATGAGTGGAACGTAATTGAAAAAGACTGAATCCAAATTATATCCGTCAACTGTGGATACCTTCTTCAGGGTTTTAGGCAAACACCTGACTGTCCATCATGCCTCTTCTGCCAGCTTTTCTCTCCTCTTAGCAGCTCTCAGCATGTTATATACACTAATGCACATTTTATTTGTTTGTCTTGTTACTGTGTCATCTCCACAGACGGTAATTTATTCCCTGTTTTGTTCACTGCACTCCAGAGCCCGGAGGGTTACCACACAGTAGTGCTTAGCGAATATTTGTTGAATGAGTCTATACTGTAGCAGATATAGTCGGTAATTGTGCTCTATCTTGAATGCAAATATTTTGAATTAGTGTGCTTAATTCTGAAGTTTCTGAAACTGATGCCTGTGTACAGTTCCTATTAGGTATTCTGGTATATGTTCTAGCAGCTCTTTTTAAACACACTGGGCTCCTGACCTCCTATTTACATTGGTATCTTGTTTGTCTTGTTGTTATTTGCAATTTTTTAAGGTAATACTATAAAATTCAAGAGTCACAAACCAGCAGTGGCCCTGGCCCATCATATGTTGTTTGGCCAGTAGAGTAGTTTGAATTGTTTTGACTTTGAATGAAATCTCAGGCAAGGTTTGCACTTTGGACAGCCCATCACTCTGTTGTTTGATCCAATTGTCACTATAATCATTTAATTTTTGTGTTTCTTTGTGTATTGTCAGTCTCCCATAGAGACTGACTCTAGGAAGTCAGTGTGTCTCCTTTGTTCATTGCTCTCCACCCCAGTCTTAGCCCAGTGCCTGATACCAAAGGGCACTCAAGACATGTAGCTGAATGGATGAGCAAATAACATCCAGGACCTGAGATGATCCCAGGTGTGGGTGCAGAATAGTAAGGTTACTCTCTCTACTGAACATGCTTACATAGCCATAAAGCTGCCAGCTCAACTGCTATTTATCTCAGAACATTTCTAAAATCCTCTCTGGGAATTGCCTTTTTTCAGTCAGTTTATGACTCAATAGCACATTTCATTTTCGAGGATGTTCACATTTACAAAGTGTTTCCCCATGTGTTTTCTCATTGGAGCAATCATCCCCATTTTGACATGAGGACACTTAGTTGTGGATAGAGAATGAATTTGCCTTTGTCTCACAGCAAGTACATGGCAGAATGGCCTTGCACACAGGTCCCCAGTGCCGACTTAGTGTTTTTTCTTCCTTACCACCACAGCAAGTTTCTTGTCCAGTTTCTGTTGGGGGTGGGGGTGGAGAACCTAGGCCTCTTGTATGTCTTGTATGTTTTCCAGGAAAGAGGGTGACATCATTCTGGTATCTTCCAATGATACTAAATTCATTTTAAAAAGCACATTAGTAACAAAAAATAGTTTTTTTTGTGTGTCAAAGTATTTAGGTAGCATAGTAAGTGCTGTGTTTACAAACTGATAAGGAAGACTTTGGACAGTAATAAATGGTCAGCTTCTCGCACAGGCTCTGTCTCCTGGTTGTCAGTCACTGTGCTCCTGTGCAGTCGCACTACAGGGGCTGAGGCTGGACTTTGGCTCCTCTCCTCCCGCCCTCCCTGGCTGGGATTACTGGGAAGCGTGCGCTTGGCATCTTACTGGAGAGCAGAGCTCACTTCAACGTGGTTGCTCTTCTCAGGATTGAACACTCAGGAGCCTAGTCTGAGATATTCTCCAGCCTGCCTTCAGGGTCTGTTTTTACTAATGCTAGCCTGCACTCCTTTAACCTGGGGGCTCAAAGACTGGCATCCCAAAATATACCTCACAGGCCACTCGTCCGTGGCTTGTTCCGGCATTCCAGGGAGGGCTTGCTGACCTGAAGGTGTCCTCTGGCCCAGGTCGAAAGACCAGAGAAGACACTGGCGCCAGGAACCTGCCACTGGCAAAGTAGCTGCCACTGAGGTAGGATATTTTTCTTTTTTTCCAGTCGAAGACAGCCTTATCTGTGGCTTTTCAGATGCTTGAGACCAAAAAAAAGCAGCCTTACTCTGCTTTTACTTTCTGAAAATAGACATATATTTTCAGATATATTTTTAGATATGGGTCATAAGCATGCCCCACAGTTTATGTCACCTTAAATAGAGCTGCTGATTAGAATCGGCCATCAGTTATGAAATAAAAGAGTAGGTATAGGTCTGGAGGAAGGGGATCCTAGCTGTTTGAGTGATACTAAAAGCCACTCCTTGCTGTATGATTTCAGTGTCCTGCTTCCAGTTGGAACTCTCTTTGCCCTTTAGCCTGATTTTCTTGTGTGTATCCTAGCAAATTATTTCATGACTAATCCTTCTTATGGACCTGAAATCATCCTTTTTGTTTTTTTTTTTAAATTTTTGGAGGGTTTTGAGTTCTCCTTTGATTCTCAGATGTGGCTGTTAATAGTTTAGTTTCTATGCATGGTTTCTGAGTAGATTCCAACAACCTATTTTTATTGACAATTTTTTTTTCTTAATTGCTTAAGAGAAGAAAGGAATCTTAGGAACAGATTCCATCTGTGAAATGCAATGGAGAATTTTGGCCAAAGTACAAGGAATGGAATGGATGGCATAAAGGGGGCATTTCTGCTCAGAGAGGATTTCTTTGTGATAGTCTCATTTCTAATTTGAGGTTCCAGAAACCTTTTAAAGGGCTGATAAGCCACATAAACTGGCGTGAGGAAGTCAGAGAGTTCAGGGGTTCTGTGGAAAGTAAAGGAGCAGCAGAGTTCCGGCTGCTGCAAGAACCAGTGAACTCTGGCTGCCTGGGCCTGAGAAACACTCACCCTTGAAGGGACTTTCCTAACTTTGCACTCTTTTAACCTAGGTCTAGAGCTCATTAATCTTTTGAGATAGGAAAGTACAGGCAGACAACTTTAGTATGTGAACCCCTGAGCTCTCTAACTTCCTCATGTCAGTTTCTGAGGCACACTAAGTGCAAAACCAAGCTTCAGGTCTCTTGCCCGTTGACTAGCGGCATGGTGTGACTGTGAATACACACATTCCGTGTGTTGGTGTGTCCTCTACTTCCAGATGATATGTGCTCTGTGATTTCTGTTTGAGGAGTTGTTACTTTCTTTTTTGACCTCCCTCTCTGTCCACATACCTGTCCTGCTTTCTGCTCTGGCTCATAGTGGTGCTAGGCAACTCTATTCCTTCTACAAGTTGGTTTCCAAATTCTGGGACTCATGAACAATATATTTTTTTCCCACTTCCTCTTTATACCATCAGTCTTTCTAGTCCATGATCTGGCTCTTTATCTGAAACTAGCAGTTAATAAGCATTTTGGAGCTGGGCTTGGTGGCTCAGCCTGTAATCCCGTGCTTTGGGAGACTGAGGTGAGTAGATTGCCTGAGCCCGCGGGTTCGAGACCCGCCTGGGCAACTTGGCGAGACCTCATCTCTACAATAAATCAAAAAATTAGCCGGGCGTGGTAGCACGTGTCTGTAGTTCCAGCTACTTGGAAGGCTGAGGTGGAAGGATTGCCAGAGCCCAGCAGGTTGAGGTTGCGGTGGCCGGGAGCGGCTACTGCACTCCAGTCTGGGTGAGAGTGAGACTCCAACTCAAAAAAAAAAAAAAAAGCATTTTGATAGACAATGCATAATTTATAAATATATTAAAGTCCTTCTTGTATGCTATTTTCAAAGAAAACAGGCCTGCCTTTGACCTTGCTTTATACAGACTTTCTAATCTGGAAATGTGTCTAGCTAGGATATGATTCCTTTCTTCCACTTTGGAGCTGTCCCTCTTGCTGGAAGAAGGCCTCAGATACCACAGCAAGGCAGTGGGGCTGTCTGTGGCTAGCTCTCATGACATCCTGATAGCCAAGGGCAAGCCAGGAAAGAGTTGGCACAGCTGTCTCTGAGGGCAGAGGAGGCCCCATAGGGCATGGGCTGGGCCCAGTGGTATGGCTCTACAGAGTGGAAGAACAGTTAGGAGGAAAGAGTCAGGATCGTCAATATGAACAGCTTTGCTTGGTCAGGAAAGTTATGCTGAAATTGAATCTGATTCTCAAATAAATAACTTGCTCTAGGGTATCTTTTCCTACCATCATCATCCTGTGTTAGCTGGGGAGAGTCAGCACTGGTTTTTAATTTACTTTGCATTCTGATTCTACAACTTGCCAGACTGAATGCAGATGTGCGCTCTCCTCACAGAAAGCGGCCCGGGCCAAGGATGGATCCCATTAACCCGGTGCTATGTGTGCCTCAGGCAAAGTGGTCCCCAGGGCCAGGAGACCAAGGCTGGCCTGTGATGTTATATCAGGTGCTCAAGGAATCCCAGAAGTGTACAAGACGGTGTGTAGCTTTCTCTCTTTTCTTCATGTCATAGATTGCTGGCTTGAGTTTTAATTAGGTTGCATGAAAGTACAGCTTGTTGGGAGCTTTAATCGTCTTCCACTGGGGAGCTGTGCTGAGCTGGTTTATTTTCATCCTGCTCCTCCCTGGGTATGAAAAAGGTATTGAGGGACATTTTAGCACCTGTCTTCCCTCCTGCTTCGCTGGCCTAGATGATCACATTTTCTGACACAAAACTTGAGACATGGGATCCTGACTTCTTCTGACAAAGTTGTGAGTTTTTTTTCCCATTTGTTAATTTGATTAAACTAAAGGCCTTATAAAGGTATAAACATTAAACTACATGTTTAATGAGTTTCCTTTATTTGGAAAGAACTACTGTTCATAAACCAGAGGCTTTTTCAGAAAACCTTGGAAATCTGATTGCTGGGCAGCGAGTTCCTGGGCCCAGAGCTTTGAGTTAGTCATGGGTCATGATTAACTGGCATGTTGTGTTTCCTGAGCACTTACCCTGAGCCAGGGGTTGTGCATGCTGATTAATTCATCTAACCTTAGAGCACACCTGGGAGGTAGGTTCTCTTTACCCTCATCTTAGAGATAAGGACACTGAGGCCCAAAGCAGTTAGGTCTCTTCACCAGGCTGTTAAGTGGCGGAGGCATGATGTGACCCCAGCCAGGCCTGCTTGAAGGTCATGACCCCTGCACTGCTGTCATCGTGTTACAGTTAGTGTTTTTCAGGTGGTCTCTGGAACCTCTGAATTTCGGGAGATGACAGGCTGCATACTTGGTGCTTGTCCCCCTGGCCTCAGTGGAGCTCTGGCTCAGCACCAGGTCGTAGGTTTGGAATAGGGTGGACTCTACAGGCTTCGGGCTTCAGGGGCCATAGGAGAAATGTGCAGAGTAGTTTCCACCCAGTAGACTTAGTGGAACTCTGGGGCCTGGCCTCAGGGGCTGAGCCTTGCTGTCCTTCCCTGAGCAGTGCCCCTCTGCCCTCTCCCACTTCGCAGCTCATCCTGGGCAGTGGCTGGGCCCTGGGCCATTCTAGTCCCGGTGATCCCACCCTGAGACCTTGCTGGTACAAGGACCTGGCACTACACTGAGAAAAAAGCATTTCCCAAACAACCATTCAGCTGAGTTGAAATCTACGCGGACTACCTGCTCACCCTTCCCAGTTTATTACACGCAAGTTCTAAGCTATACTTACCTCTGGCCTATCTGTGCTTTCTGTAAATTGCTATAATTTTCTGGCAAAGCTATACCAACAAAGTGGTAACCATTCCTGCCCCCCAGTTTTTAACCCTTCTGCTCCTGGGAAACTGAGTCCACGTCTCCATTTTCAGGGTGCAGACCCTGTGAAGGACTCCAGGCAGCACCAAAGAACATTGGTGCCTGCTCTAAACCTTTACTGACAACTTCCCAGGTGTCAGACAAAGAATTCTTGAGTCTTAGCATCTCCTTGGGACTAAGCATGGCCTGTAGGCCGGAATACTGGCTTGAGCTTCCTTTTGGGGCAGGGGATGGTACTAATAGTGCCCGAGTGAACAGCTTGATGTTTTAAATGCCACATTAACCCCCAGTCCAAGCAGCATGGGCCTGGCACAGCATAGGGTGAGGTGGAGCTGTGTCTATTCAGCAGATAGTAGCCAAAGAGTTTTCAAAAGTAGATTAAGTGTCAGCTGATAGAAAACAGTCATTTTTATAGTCCAAGAATGGCTATTTTTTAAGTGATCAATAATTTAAGTGTATTTGGGAAGGCAAGGCGAAAACTTAAAGTAAATACTAAACTAGTTAGAGTGGAACCCCTTTGTAGGAAGCAGTTTAGCTTGGGTGTGAACTTCAGGAGCGAAGGAACTTAGTAGGTGGATGTGCATTGGGAGTCTGCAGTGTTCTTGTCTCCACTCTGGCATCCACAGAGTTGATGTTGTCTTGGGAAAGGAAGCAGAAATATTTTTTAAAATATATGTGTTGAGGAGATGAGACATTTAGTAGGTGGGTGAGGGTTTTACATAGTTACTCCCAAACTGATGAATAGTTTAAAGCTTCAGGCTGGTTTGCCAGAACTCTGTTCTTGGTTTCCAGCCTCTTCCTTCCTGAAAAGGATTACTGTTCTCATAAAGCCACAGCCCTGGAGGTGGACTGTGGGGGACTCTGTCAAATAGACTCCAGCCTGCCTGTCAGTGGCAGCCCATGATATAGCTCCTCACTAGCCCATCCTTGACCTTCCTTTAACTCTGTGTCTCCCCTCTTAGCTCTAGCGTTGGGCACAGGGGCATGGGTGATAAGTACCAAGGAATGGGGGAGGTTCAGGGGAAATTTAGAGCAGTTGTGGAGAAAACGGATATATTTCCTAAGAATTGACTTACACATGGTTGCACAAACACTCACATGGCCTCCTGATTGCATCTGGCTGACTGTGGCTCACTGGAGAATGCTAGGTGAGAACATGTCATGGACGTGGCTCAGCAGCATGCTTACTGGCTGCTATCTATGCTGACACGTGACACAGGGCCGCTCTGCCTGCCTGCACTGAATTCAATTTGAGTTTCTATGAGGTCTGTGTTCAGTCCATCTGTGGCCATCATGGATACCATCTAGGGGCTTCCCCACCCAGAAACATCCATCTCCAAAGTGTTTGCTCTGAAGAGTTTAAGAATTAGTGTGATTTCCTTTGTCCTTTTCTTTTACCCAAACAAAACAAACAAAAAAACCCTTCTGGTTTCACAAATATTCAGGGATTGAAAATGATAATAGGCATCACTTGAGGTAATGTCAAAACAGGTTTCTGAAGGAGAGTCAGGTGAGTACTGATATGCCATCTCTTCCTGTAGCACTCACCAGTGACTTGAGTTCCAAGCTAAATGACAATCTCAGCTTGTTCTCTGATGAGCATCATGAGGCGTGTAGCTTTGCTGTCTGCTCACATCAGTACAGAGTGAGAGAAAACAATTTCCACAATGCTGAGTAGTTGGCATAGAGTGTGGTGCCTAGAAAGATATTTGCTGGGGCTCAGAGCTGAAGTCTGCAGAATACAGATCTGGGATTTGTATCAGACTAGGGGAAGAGCCTTGGCAATCCCCTGAGTTCTTCTGCATTGTCACAAGTGCATTTGGTTTTGGTTCTTCCAGGAAGAGTGTGCTGAAGGTGAAGGTCATGGACTTTATCACCTCTACGGCCATCCTGCCCCTGCTCTTTGGCTGCCTAGGCATCTTTGGCCTCTTCCGGCTGCTACAGTGGATGCGCATGAAGGCCTACCTGCGGAATGCTGTGGTGGTGATTACAGGCGCCACCTCAGGACTGGGGAAAGGTGGGTTGAAGCGATGCTGTTGGGGGTGGGGACAGTCAGCCAGGGATGAGGAGTGGCTCGGCTGTATTATGACCACCAGCACAAGTATCTGACATGGCAGCAGGAAATGCAAACAAGAGAAGCGGGCTGAATGGCACTGTCCTCTCTCCAGGTGGAAAAAGCAGGAGCTTAAAAGCAATGAGAAATGGCCTCTGACTCAGCATCAGGATGGGAGGCAAAAGCAAGTGAAGCAGACTGGTCCCCTGGAGGCTGCATGGCCTCTTGAAGGGGCAGCTCTACTCAGCCTCAGCTGCTTGTTGTGGTAGGAATTTTATGTGAAATCTCCCGATTTTTAAATATGGACACCTAAGTTAAAGAGTGTTTTTACCTCTATGAGGACCAAATGAAATGACCTTTCCTGGATTCATCCAGCACCCCTGGTTCATGGCCTTGGTGTGTGCTTTCTCTGCATCTTCCCTCCCTGGGGCCAGGCCTCTGTATCCTGGATATAGTCTTGGCAGGGTCAGAGACAGGATAAGTAATGGCTCAGCTGTGCCATGTTCCCCAGGCTAGGACCACTCCTAGGCAGCGAACACCTTGAGCTTCTAAGTCCCTATTCCTCAAATGAGTTGCAGGGCTTTGTCTTCTTCCCTGCATACACGCATATTGGTTTTGGGACATCATGTGAGTTCCTTGCCCTCTTTCCTTAGCACATGTACATACCATGCTGTCTATACTCAAGCTGAGTTCCATGGAAGAAAGCTGAGGAAATCCCTGAATTGTGGTCAGCCCATACACTGCTGCATCTTTTGGTTGGTGATAGCATAGCAAGAGCTGCCTGCTAGGTGTGAGGGTCTGGGCCAAATGCTGGAACAAACAGAATGACAGGACTCCTTCAATCAAGGAGGTCACAGTCTACAGTTCCAAGGAGAAAGGCAAGGACTTGTTTCAGTATACTGCCATTTCAGTTATGAGCGTTCCCAGTCAGGCTTGGTGAGGGAAGGCGTGGTTATACGTGCTGGCTTGTGCTGAGCATGTTTATGTGCATTAGCTCACAGAATTCTCACAGCTAAGATTTAGAGAAGGTACGATTTGCCCTAGGACTTCCAGCCAGAAAGTGCAGACCCAAAATTTAAACCCACGTATCTCCAACTCCAGAATTCACACTCATAAAGGCTCACTTTGGCAGGAGATGGCCAGGTAAAAGGAAGGGGTGGGTCAGCAGGGAGGACATTCTAGACAGGGATCAGAAGTGGGAGTAGCATGGTAGTGTAGGGAGTTATACGCAGTTGGGTGTTGCATGAACACGAAGGAGTAGATGGAGCTTGTCTGTAGTGTTAGTGGCTTGCAGTTGGCCAGGGAGAGCCTGAGAAGGCTTTACGGAGTGTGGATTCATTTGTATGCCACTGTGGATGTGAGGTCTCCAGGGGTGAACACCATGTCTGTCATTGGATATACAGACCTTCGAAGAGACAGCTGCTTCCAGGCCCTTTGCCATCGGTCAATCCTCTGACCTTACTCAGCTACTATATATAGGGTGGTCAACAGACACTTCTCTTGATCTCAGAAGTATTTTTTAAAAGTCCTTGAAGAGCATTTGAGAGCTGGCTGAGGGAGAATGGTGAGTTGCAGGTGTCCCATCCGTGGATGTTTGAGAAGGACACTGCCTTCCTCATTATTCTGTGTTTCTTCTCCTGACAACCAGATTGTGAAGGCAACAGAAAATGTCACTGAGATAAGCACATCTGTATATGTAGTATGTGGTTTAGTCACTCTGCTTATATTCTACCCCATTGGACGTGTTAGGACAGGAATCCCGCCATCCAGATCAAGTAGGAACAGATTCTTAACTGGCCCTCTCAAGTACAAACACCCACTACTGGTGCCACTAAGGAACTGCTGCCGTCCCCTAGCTTCTGTGAGGGGCAAAAGCCATGCTGTCCTCAGTGGTTCTGCCTGCCATGTCAGTCGCTCTGAAGGCTTGGGGTTATGTGATGAGTCTTCAGACAGCTTTCTGTAGTTCTCCTGTCTTCTCTATTTTGTGTATTAAAGCTTCATGAGCTTGTCCTTGTAAATAGTAGGACCACAGACTAAAGGAATAGGATTTCTGGGTGCCTGCTTCAGCCAGCCTGAGCCACATGGTCGTGCACAGCTCTCTTGACTTACAGCCTAGGTGTGCCAGGAGCACTGGAGATTAATGGTCTGCAGCCCTAAATACCTTGGCACTGTTTTCTTTTTTCCCTTGACCCTCCTGCTTCCCAGTGTCAGCTTTTTCAAGAAATGAAAATGGAATTTTCCAATCTGTTGTTTTCATTTCTGTCACTCCCTATACAAATTTTAATTTCCTCCCTTTTTAGCTTTGCTAGGAAGCAAAGCTGAAGCAGAACTCAGGCATTCATTTTCCAGAAGCTGTCTATATACCAGCACGATTCCCACCTTTGGTTTTATGTCTATATCCTTTGGTGGCACCTTACAAAATGTCCTATATGTTGGTCAGGATGAGACAAAATGGGGTGAGGAAGTCAGCGGGGCCCAGGGCTCCTAATCCTTGGGAATGATTTAGTAAACCGGATGAGCCGTTCTAGCCTCAGGAATGCTGGCATCTGGCTTGGAGTGCAGCTCCCACCTCCCTCATTCCTTTGGTGCCTTTGCTGCTCTGATAAGGCGCACCAGGACAGGCGGGGCTGGTGCCCTGGGACTGGGCCACACCACTCAGCAGCAGAAACAGTGGCTGTGGCTGTCTCTGGGCTGCTGCCTTGTCAGGATGAGCCAGTGGACAAATCAATCAAATCTCCTTCAGAGAAAATGGTGCACCACACGTGAACATGCGCTGACTTAGTCTTAGCACCACTTTCTTTTTTTTCTTTTTTGGGTTGGAGTCTCACTCTGTCGCCCAGACTGGAGTGCAGTGGCTGCTCCCAGCTACCGCAGCCTCGACCTGCTGGGCTCCAGTGATCCTTCTGCCTTAGCCTTCCAAGTAGCCGGAACTACAGGTGTGTGCTACCACGCCTGCTTCATTTTTTATTTATTGTAGACATGAGGTCTCGCCAAGTTGCCCAGGCGGGTCTCGAATCCGCGGGCTCAGGCAATCCACTCACCTCAGCCTCCCAAAGGCATGGGATTACGGGCTGAGCCACCTTTCTATAAAACTCCGTCTGAGGGTATGCAGAGAAGTGCATGGGCATGACAAGTAAAAGCTGTACAAGGAGCTAAATGAGGTGCTGTAGAGTACAGAGAGGGCGTTGTGCCATGAGACAGTAGTCAAAGAACCTTCTCTCTTGCACACCCAGGACTGCTAGCACTGAAGGACACTGAGTTTCTGTTTTGCACCCTTCTCATTGTAAGGAAGTGTGATACTTCTCTGAGGGAAGGGCTGTTCAGACGATTACATACTGCCTGACCTTTCTGACTTTTTTTCCTCCCAGCCGATGAAGTGACAGCCCTGATCCCTCAGCCCCTCACTGAGTCCTTCCATGAGCCAGGGGCTTCAGGGACTGGGATGCCACTTGACCACCTGGGACTCTAAGGTTCTGTCTTAGACCTTGTGGGAGGCTCCCTGTTGTGTCAAGGTCAGCAGGGGCCCAGGTATCCTGTACAGATCTGCTCATGAGCATTTGAGGGAGACTAGACCTCAGGTAAAGACAGACAGTGCTTCTTTAAACCCACACTTTTCACCATCAGTCATGCTGTAGAACATTTTTAAAAGGCAGTTTAGAAATAAAGAAAAATATTCAACACTTCTGTAGTGCCTCTTATCTATCAAGCACTTAGTAAGTGATTGCTGACTTTAGCTTATTCAATCCCATTGTGACCCTGAATTAGGCACTATTTTTGTCTGCATTTTGAATAAGAGGAAAGTGAGAAACAAAGAGGTTCTAACTTACTGGAGAGCACAGAACTAGTAAGTGCCAGAAGCTGGGGCTGCACACAGGAAGTTTAGCTCAAGTGCATACTCTTGACCACTGGGCTGTACTGCCTTTCATAAGGTGTGAATTATGAGGGCACTGAATATTTAAGAAGGACATGTTGGGAGGGAGGCTTGGCAAGATGCAAGAAAATTCACCCTCTGCCTCCTCTCCTTCATCATCCTCTGCCTCCTGTCTCTTCTCACCCTCTACCTCCTTCCTCTCCCGTCACCCTCTGCTGCCCTCTGCCTCCTCTTCCCTGTCACCCTCTGCCTCCGCTCCTCCATTATCTTCTGCCTTCTCTCTCCCCCATCCCCTCTACCTCCTTCCTCTCCCATCACCCTCTGCTGCTCTCTGCCTCCTCTCCTCCATTATCCTCTGCCTCCTCTCTCCCCTCACATCACTCTCTTCTTCCTTTCTCTACCCACAGGTTAGACCCCAACTCCACCTCCAAGTTTTGATGGTTTCACCTCCTGCCTTCAGGTGGTGTTTTGTCTGCCCCTCCCCTTCCTCCTTAGCCACAGGGAAATTAAATGTGACTCTGGCTGTGCCCCCCACCCAAGGCTGATCACAGCATTCCCTGGGATTTTGACACTAAATCTAGGAAGAGGCGAGACAGACTCATCCCTGGGTGGCAGGGGAGTGAGCCTACAACTGCCTACAGTTCTCATCTCACTGAGAAGCTGGCCAGGGCAGGATGCAGAGAAAGGCCTGCCAGCATGTGAGAGGGCCCTGGGTAGCCACCACTTTGGACTTTCACAAGTCTTGGCTATTCAGCTCTTCTCTTCATTCTTGAGTTTCCTCTTTGATAAATTCTCCTTTTGTTTTGCCCCAATGTGAGTTGAGTTTGTTTCTTGCCACCAAAAGGATATTGAGTAGTAGAGGTGTCTGATGAGCTCTGGACTTCCCTGTCATGGTCCCAGTTGAATTCCTCATCAGTTGTCCCCTGGAATATTGTAGTGGGCTCAGTGGCATGTGGTCTTATCCAGTCCCTCTCCCTACTACCCAGCAGGAGTGAGTCTTTTAAAATGTAGGCATCCTTAATAATCCTTTGCTGGCCAGGCTCAGTGGCTCAGCCTGTAATCCCAGCACTTTGGGAGGCCAAGGCAAGTGGATTGCCTGAGCCCATGGGTTCAAGACCTGCCTGGGCAACCTGGCGAGACCTTGTCTCTATAATAAATCAAAAATTAGCCAGGTGTGGTAGCATGCGCCTATAGTTCTGGCTACTTGTAAGGCTGAGGCGGAAGGATCACTGGAGCCCAACAGGTCGAGGCTGCGGTGGCTGGGAGTGTGCCACTGCACTCTGGCCTGGGCGACAGAGTGAGACTCCAACTCAAAAAAAAATCCCTTTGCTGTTGTAGGTACTCCACTAGTGTGCATAAACTCAGCTCTAGCCATGGCATTTTGCTGCCAGAACCCCTACTGCAGCTCAATGAGGCTGTAAGGCCCTCCACTTTGTGTCCTAGTTTCATCTGTCCATGACCCCTCAGGCACTCACTCCCTCTGCCTCAACCCCTTCTTTGGGAAACAGCCCATCAGATTTTAGGACTCCTGGGGAAGGTCTCCCCACCCAGAGTCCTCTGTGCCCTGTTTTCCCACAGAACCATGTAAGTACTCCTAGTAGATCTGTGCGTGGGTAGTGCCAGAACACAGCCTTGGCAGACCGTGGTATACTAGTAGCTGGCCCTCCTGCTTGACTTTGCTGAGCCTCCTCAGCTGTGAAAATGGGAATGGTGCTCACAGGGTTGATCAGGGTTAAAAAAGCACATTGTGAAAGTTTCAAGCATAATATTTAAAACTGTCTACCTTTCCCCACCTTTCTCTTGCCCTGTGGATGTCTGCAGCACTGAACATGAGTGCTGGATTGGGCCCTAACTCCTAGCTCCATGCTGGGCCATAGGAGAGGTCAACATATACATGTTGAGGGTGTGAAGAAACAAACAGACAACATTGGGTGAATATGAACTGAGCTGCACTGGGGAAGAATGGCATTGGGTTTCCTCAGCTGTTAAGGTTCTTTTCTTTTTCCTTAGAATGTGCAAAAGTCTTCTACGCTACCGGTGCTAAGCTGGTGCTCTGTGGCCGGAACCAGGAGGCCCTAGAAGAGCTCAAACAAGAACTCATTGCTTCTCAAGCCACCAAGGTGAGCCAGGGGTGTGTGTTTCATGGGGAAGGAGTGGAAAACATCTTTAGGCACCTGAGGAGATAGTGGCCCACTCCTGAGCTGCAGGACATCTACATGTCACTCTGTCCCAGGGAAGGCAGCAGTTGTCCATAACAAACCGGGCCCTGAGGAGGCAGAACTGTCCTATAGGACACTTCAGGTAGTACTGACAAATTAATATCCTGCAGCCATCACTTACTAGTATTGTGAGATTAAAAAGTTTCCCCTGTGGAGATTACTCTCCCTCTTCCTTTCACCCGGCTAAGCTCTACTCATCAGGTAGGGCTGGGAGTTGGTCATGACTTTGAAAGTTTTAATTGTCATAACATATACATAATATTTATCATTTTAACTATAAGTGTACAATTCAGTGGCATTAAATACATTCACAATGTATGTAACCACTATCACTGTCTATACTCAAAACTTTTTCAACGTCCCCAATAAAAATTCTGTAGCCATTGAAAAATAACATCCTCTTTCCCATTCCTCCCAGCCTCTGGCAACCTCTCTTCTACTTTCTGTCTCTGTGAATTTACCTATTCTAGGTACCTCATATAAAAGGAATCATATAATATTTGCCCTTCTCTACCTGGTTCACTTCACTTAACATAATATTTTCAAGGTTTATCCATGTTATAGCATGAATCAGAATTTCCTATTTAAGGCTGAGTAAAATTCCGTTGTATTCATATACCATATTTTGTTTATCCATTCATCTGTCAGTTACACTAGGATTGTTTCCACCTTTTGGCTATTGTGAATAATCTTGCTGTGAACATTGGTATACAAGTATCTATTCATGTCCCTCCTTCAGTGCTAGGATATATACCTAGGAATGGAATTGTTGAATCATTTAATAGTTCTGTATTTAACCTTTGAGGAACCACCAAATGGTTTTCCATAGCAGCTGTAGCTGTACCATTTTGCATCTCCACCAGCAATGCACAGGATTCCAGTTTCTCCGTAGCCTCCCAACACTTGTTATTTTCTGAGTTTTAAATTTTTTTAAATTATACCCATTCTGGGAGGTATGAAGTAATATCTCGTTGTGGTTTTTTTGAGTTGGAGTCTCACTCTGTCGCCCAGACTGGAGTGCAGTGGCCGCTCCCGGCCACCGCAGCCTCGACCTGCTGGGCTCCGGCGATCCTTCCGCCTCAGCCTTCCGAGTAGCCGGAATTACAGGCTTGCACTACCACGCCTGGCTGATTTTTTGATTTATTGTAGAGATGAGGTCTTGCTGCCCAGGCGGGTCTCGAACCCGCAGGCTCAGGCAATCCACTCACCTCAGCCTCCCAAAGGCGCAGGATTACAGGCTGAGCCACCGAGCCCGGCTTCGTTGTGGTTTTGATTTGCATTTCCCTAATCATAAATGATGTTGAGCATCTTTTAATGTGCTTATTGGCCATTTATATATCTTTGGAGAAATGTCTATTAAAGTCCCTTGCCTGTTTTTTAATCAGGTTGTTAATTGTTGAGTTTCAGAGTTTTTTATGTATTCTGGATATTAATCCCTTTATATATGATTTGCAAATATTTTCTCCCATTCAGTAGATTGTCTTTTCACTTTCTTGACAGTAATCTTTGAAGCACAGAAGTTTTTAATTTTGATGAAGTCCAATGTATTTACTTATTTTTTTTCTTGTTTTTGCTTGTGAAAATATATAGTATCAGATAAGGGTCCAAATTTATTCTTTTGCTTGTGGTTATCCAGTTTTCCCAGCACTATTTGTTGAAGACTGTCCCTTCTTCGTTGAATGGCCACCCTTTTCAGAAATCAGTTGATCATTTATTTGAAGGGTATATTTCTGGGCTCTTTAGTCAGTTGGTCTGTATGTCTGTCCTCTGTTAATATCATACTGTTTTAACTACTGTAGCTTTGTAGTAAGTTTTGAAGCAAGAAAGTGTGAGTCTTCCAACTGTGTTCCTTTTCAAGATTGTTTTGGCTATTTGGGGTCTATTGCAATCTCATATGAATTTTAGAATTTTTTTTTCTATTTCTGTAAAAAAATGCAGTTGAGATTTTGATAGAAATAGTATTGTTTCTATTAATCACCTCAGGTAGTATCAACAAATTAACAATACAGTCTTCCAACCCATGAACGCAGGATATCTTTCCATGCATTTATATCTTCTTTAATTGCTATCAGCAATAATATAGTCTTCAATGTACAAATCTCTTACCTCCTAAGTTAAATTTATCCCTAAGTATTTGTCTTAGTCTGTTGTGTGCTGCTGTAACAAAATATCAGAGACTAGGTAATTTTTTTGAGTTGGGAGTCTTGCTCTGATGCCCAGGCGATGCCCAGGCTGGAGTGCAGTGGCACAGTCACAGCTCATCACAGCCTTGACCTCCTTGGTGCAGGGGAATCCTTCTGCCTCAGTCTCCCAAGTAGCTGGGACTACAGGCATTCGCCATCACACCTGGCTAAGCTTTAAAAAAATTTTTGTAGAGACAAGGTCTCACTATGTTACCTAGGCTGGTCTCAAACTCCTAGGCTCAAGCAAGCCTTTTGCATTGGGCTCCCAAAGTGCTGCGATTACAGGTATGAGCCACTGCACCCAGCCAAAACTGGCTAATTTTTCAAGAAGTCTATTTCTCACAGTCTAGAGGCTGTGAAGTCCAAGATTGAGGAGCTGTCATCTGGTGACAGAAGCCTCATATGGGTGAGAGAGAGAGAGAGAGAAGGAAAGGGGCTGAACTCATCCTTTTATGAGGAAACCACTCCCATGGTAACAGAATTAATCCAGTCATGAAGTTCTTACCCCTCAACATTGCTGCACTGGGGATTATGTTTCTGACACATGAGTTTTGGGGGGGCACATTCAAAACATAGCAGTATTTAATTCTTTTAATCGCTATTAGAAATAAAATTGCTTTCCTAATTTCCTTTTCATATTATTCATTGCTTGTGTATGGAAATACAACTAGTTTTTGTGTACTGATCTTGTATCCTGCAACTTTGTTCAGTTTGTTAATTAACTCTTATAGTTTTCTGTGGAATTTTTTAGAAGTTCCTATATGTAAAATCATGTAATCTGCAAATAGGTAGTTTTATTTTTTCTTTCCAATTTGGGTGACTCTTCTTTTTCTTGTCTAACTTCTCTGATTAGAACTTGCAGTACATTGTTCAATTGCTGTTGTGAGAACAGGCAGGCATCCTTGTCTTGTTCCTGATCTTAGGGGAAAAGCTTTCAGTCTTTTACCCACTGAGAATGTTATCTGTGGGTTTTTCACAAACACTTTTTTGCCATATTGAGGTATTGCTCCATTTTTACTATATTGAATGCTTTTTTTTTTTTTTTTTTTTTTTACCATAAAAGGGTGTTGGATTTTGTCAAATCTTTTCTGTGTCAATTTTGATGATCAAGTGTTATTTTCTCTTCATTTTATTAATGTGATGCAGAATAATTTATTTTATTATGTTGAACCACACTTGCATTCCTGGAATAAATCCTTCTTGGTCATGGTGAATAATCCTTTTGATATGCTGTTAAATTCAATTTGTATTTTGTTGAAAATTTTTACATCTATATTCATAAGGGATATTGGTCTATAATTTTTCTTTTCTTGTGATAACTTTGCCTGGCTTTGGTATCAAAGTAATATTGGCTTTATAGAATGAATTAGGAAGTGTTTCCTCCTCTTTAATTTTTTGGAAGAGCATGAGGAGAACTGGTTCTAATTTTCCTTTAAATGTTTGGTAGAATTCACAAGTAAAGTCATCTGGTCCAGGACTTTTCTTTGTTGGGATTTTCTTTTCCTTGTTTTAGGATTTTCTTTTCTCTGTTTTTCTGTTTTTGATTACTGATTCAATCTCTTTACCTGTTATAGGTCTCCTGAGATTTTCTATTTTTCCTTCAGTCAGTTTAGGTAATCCATATGTCTCAAGGAATTTGTCTATTTCTTCTAGGTTATCTAACTTGTTAACATGTAATTGTTTATAGTATTCTCTTATCATCATTTTTATCTCTGTAAAGTTGGTAGTAATATCCCCACTTTACTTTGTGAATTTAATTATTTGCATCTTCTTTTTCTCCTTATCAGTTTAACTAATGGTTTCTCAATTTTGTTGATGTTTTCAAAGAACCAACTTTTGGTTTCATTGATTTTTTTTTTTTTTCTCTTGTCTATTTTGGTTATTTTTGTTCTAATCTTTATTATTTCCTTTGCTGACTTTGGGTTCAGTTTGCTGTTGTTTTTCTAGTTCCTTAAAGTCTCAAGTTACATTATTGATTTGAGCCTAATAGATCTGTGGGACATATAGCTCACATGGCCTGTCACTCATAAGGTGCATTTGGTGTCTGTTGTATTTGACCAGGTGCAGACACACAAGCCTTACACGGTGACCTTTGACCTCACAGACCCTGAGGCCATAGTTGGAGCAGCAGCCAAGATTCTGCAGTGCTTTGGCTATGTGGACATACTCGTTAACAATGCTGGGATCAGCTACCGTGGTACCATCATGGACACCACAGTGGACGTGGACAAAAGAGTCATGGAGACAAACTACTTTGGCCCAGTTGCTCTAACGAAGGGTAACAGTCTTGGATTAAAATTAAAAACAGCAGTGAAATGTTGGCATTCTTTTTTCTTCCACAGGTTCCTTTTCAACTAAATACTCCCTTTCTCCATCCTGTTTTACCTTGGAGCGGGTGTTGTCATTACAGTATTTGCTTTGTCTACTTTACAGCTTCAAATAATGATGTTCTCCTCAGTTACAGCCTCATTTGCACACACCATTGCCTGCGTTTCCTTTTCATGGTATCTGCAAGCCCCTACAAGGTCGGGGATATTTATATGTCCCATCATAGATTTCATTCCAGGGGAGAGGTTCCTATAGGAAAAGGGAACTGAGCTGATGGTTCACAGTGACGGGCTGGCTGCTGGCCTCCTCCCTGTTTCCTCCCTCCTCTCTCCTGCTGGCCTGCTGGCTGGCTGCTGGGCACAGGGGACTCAGTGTTCCAACATGGTCCTCTACCCTGAGGGACTTTCACTGTTTTCCCTCACTCTGACTAAATATTCTAAGCACAGTCGCCTCCTGCCAGTGTCAGATGGAGTGACTGAAAGAAGGGTGCTTGTCTAAACCTCTGCCCTCCCTCCTCAGCACTCCTGCCCTCCATGATCAAGAGGAGGCAAGGGCATATCGTTGCCATCAGTAGCATCCAGGGCAAGATCAGCATTCCTTTTCGATCAGCGTGTGAGTACTTCTCCCTCCTCCAAAATGCTTTTCTTTATTGTTTTGTTCCTGATTATAAAAATCTCATGTTTACTGTCCAGAATTTGGACCTTGTAGAAATACAGAATGTTCTTCAGAGCAGAATGCTTGGGTTCATAGCCCAGCTCCTTTTTATCCCCTATGTGACTTTGGGCAAGTATCCTCACTTCTGTGTGCTTCATTGTCATGTGTAAATGAGAGTCCTAGTCTCAACCCGGGGAGCTGCTGTGAGAGAAATGTTTGGAGCTGCCCGAGGCACTAAGCACTATGTGTGTGCCAGCCCCCCTATTGTTATTATTATTAGCCTCATCCCACAAATATAACAATGTCATCACTCTGGGGCACATGCCTTTTTTTTTTTTTTTGAGGTCTCACTCTGTTGCCCAGGCTGGAGTACAGTGACATGAAGACAGCTCAGCTGCAGCCTCAACCTCCTGGGCTCCGGCTAGCCTTCTCCCTCAGCCTCTCAAGTAGATGGGACTACAGACATGCACCACCACACCTGGCTAATTTTCTGATTTTTTGTAGAAACAAGGTTCTTACTATGTTGCCTAGGCTGGTCTTGAACTCCTGGTCTCAAGTGATCCTCCTGCCTTGGCCTCCCAAAGTGCTGGGATTACCGGCCTGAGTCACCATGCCTGGCCTCCAATTTTTTTTTTTTTTTTTTTTTTTTACATATAATCAAACACGCAAAAGTGAGATCTAATTATGCATATTGCTTTGTGGCATGTTTATTTAACTTGATAATATATCTTTCTATGTCAGCATATATGAACTTTAACTCATCCTGTTAAGTGGGTATATAGTAATCCATTGAATGAGTATGACATAATTGATTTTGCCATTTTCCTGGACACTTGAGGATTTTTTTTTCCCTTTGGTCTTTGACCATTAGCAGTGATATGCTACACAGAATATTCTTGAATGTTTATATCTCTGGGCCCTCATGGGAGATTTCAATGAGGTTTTAAAGGTAATTTCAGAAAACTGCCTAGTAACTCCTGTCTTTGCTTTACCCTCTGAAGGAAATACATACTGACTATAGCAGCCTCACCTGCTCTCAGCTACCTCCAAAGGCTAGACTCAGCCACACCCAGCCATAGCCTTTATCAGTAGAGGAAGGCAAAATTGTGGCACTTTGGAAGGACAGTAACAAGCATCTAGTTCAGTGCTATGGTACAGCCAACTGTCTGAATTGGGTGTAACAAAAACTTCTTCTCCCTGCTCTCCCTTTTGGTTTGGTTATATGTTCTTGCACATATTACTCAGTTTTTCTGATCCTGTGTCCTTATGTATCAATGAGACCAAATCATCATACATGCTTCCCAGGGCTTATTTAATGATGAAATGAGACTAGAGATATCCTTTGTAAACTGTAAACTGCTATATCCATATTTGTTTCTATAGGTATTATCTCTGTGTGTTAATATCTGTTTCAGCTTTAGATAGGATAGCTACTAAGGCTGCTCAAGTGGTTCAGGAAAGAATATATATAGGATTACAAATAAGTTAAAATACTAACAATAAGTAAATCAGGGTAAAGGACATACAGAGTTCTTTGTACTGAATTATTTCCCAATTTTACTTTGATTTAATCCCACTTGTTTTTGTTCTGTAATTGGCCTGCTGACTGCAGCAAGGCATGCCCCCAGATGACCTACTCTTCCTAGTCCTCAGGCATGGGCTGCAGCCGTGGAGTCATGGCTGACAGGAATTCTCTCCTCTACCCATCAGAGCCTCCTCATCCAGCCCCCAGCAACTCTGCCCTATACCAAAGGAACAGGCCCACCAAGGCACTGCAGTAAGTGCAGCCACTGCTGAACTGCCTCACATGACTTGCTGAGACACTTTGGTTTTTTCCCTTGTTTTCTTGGCTGACAGATGCCCCTTCTTTCCTAAGGTAAAACATTTAGAACTTTGAATTGGAGGAAACTGATGTTCTGTGGAGATGCTGGTGTGTTTTCCAAGAATGTCACTATAGGGTCACCGCGTTCCCCTTCAGGGCACCTTTCGCTGGGTATGGAACCCTTCCTGCAAAGCAGACACAGCTGTTTCTCACAGGTGGAGGAAGCTCTGTAGCTTTTCCAGATGCAAAGCCACTGCCTAGAAGTTGTCAAATGAAATATGCAAGAAGCCAGGGATGGATTTCATATACACACACTCCCATGCATGGAAGGAGGCTCACTGGGAGCAGGCTTCACAGTAACAAAAACGGAAACAACCCAAGAAGGCCCATTGATGGAGTCAGTTCTGTTACTGGTAACCCATGGAGGAGGACTGGACAGCCAAGGCCACGTGGCAGGTCTGTGGGGCTGGCACAGGGACTGTCCAGTCTGTGCCACCAGATAAAAAAAAGCTGCTTGTAGGAACAGTAGGAATAGTATGAGCTCAGTTCTGTTTTTAAAAAGTCACTTTTGTGTAAAATCACATGTATATACCTAGGACATATAAAAAATAAGTCCCAGGCCAGGAGCAGTAGCTCCTATAATCCCAGCACTTTAGGAGGCCAGGGCAGGAGGATCACTTGAGCCTAGGAGTTCAAGGCTGCAGTAAAGCTGTGATTATGCTACTTTACTCCAGCCTGGGGAACAGAGCTAGACCCCGTCTCTAAAATAAATTAATAAATCCTGAAAAATTGGAAGACAGGAGAACTTTTACTTTTTTATATTATGCCCTGCTGTACTATGTGAATGTTTTACCCAGTAGGCATTAAGTTTTGTTTTTTTTTTTTAACTTTTAACTTGGAATATCATACTTAATGAAAAATTGCAGGAACAGCACAAATAACTCCCATGTACCCTTCATGAAGATTCCCCAACTGTTAACATGTTACTTTATTTGCTGTATCAGTCTTTCACTCTAAGTATGTGCGTATATGTGCATACATATAGTTTATAATTTTTATGTATAGCTTATAATGTATATGAACAACATAGGTACATAGTCTGTATAATTTTTTCCTGAACCATTTGAAAGGAAGCTGGAGACATAATGCTTATTTACTCCTAACTACTTCAGTGCGTTTCCTAAGAACAGAGATACAATGTACATCTCAAAATTAGGAAACGAACATTGTTATAATACTATCATCTTAAATTATAAAACCAGGTTTTGGAGTGGTACATGCCTACAGTCCCAGCTACTCAGGAGGCCGAGAATCGCTTAAGCCCAGGAGTTCAAGTCCAGCCTAAGCAACATAGTGAGACCTTGTCTCTCAAAAAATAAAACCAGGTTTTAAAAACAGAGTGTGAGTGAATGGGAGTGAATAGGTGGGCGCCAAGCCATGCCCACCCCAGTGCTCTCACTCACCTGCTTCTTTGTCCATGTGTGCAGACGCAGCCTCCAAGCACGCAACCCAGGCATTCTTTGACTGTCTGCGTGCTGAAATGGAACAGTATGAAATTGAGGTGACTGTCATCAGCCCCGGCTACATCCACACCAACCTCTCTGTAAATGCCATCACTGCTGATGGATCCAGATATGGAGGTGAGGCCCAGTTTCTCTTTTCTTCTATGAAAATCTGTTGGCCACAGTAAGACATGCTGCTCTTTCCTCAGTGATTCTTCAGTCATTTCAATTTGGAATATAATTTTCAAAACAAAAAAACTTGACATAGATGTTGGTTATAGATACAGACTGTTGAGTAATCTTCATTTACCCTGCCATGAACCACCCTTAGCCTAAACTGTCACTACTGCAGCTTTCAGAACAGGACCCTTGTGGGCAAGACTTTGAGGGGTTGAAAGGAAGTCCCTAAGCTGAAATGCCACCACACTTTCAATTAACCCAGTCCCAGACCTCAAGGCCCAAGGAGTATTAGCAGGATCAGGGTTCAGTGAATTAACCTCATGGCAGGTGTGGGGTGCCTGACCTGAATGGTCCTCACACAGCAGGCTTGAGAAATACTAATTTCAGGGCTAGTCTTTTGGGTGAAGCTGGATGCAGCATTCTCAGAACCTCCGCCTTGCTTCAGAGACAGCACTGAGCTGAGTGTTGAGCTAACCTGCAGTCACCACTTGTGGATGGGGTGGCTGGCTCCAGCGTGCAGGGTCAAGCCAGAGACCAGTTGACCAGTGAATACTGGAGCCTTGGAGCTGGCTCTGCCTTCCCATGCTCAGAACGGGGCCTGTCTACCCCTCAAGTACTGTCCCGCTGTCCTTCCTTCCTCCCTGATGTGATCTCATGGGCTTTATGCTGATATCTGCCAGGGACCTCCTGGTCTTGCCCCCACTCCAGCCAGGCCTGAACTGAGATTGCCCATGTCCTAGCGTCAACGGTTCTCTCACACAGCAAGTGCTCTTCTCTCCACAAGAGAAACCATGCACAGGCATGGGCCTCATACAGCTTCATCCTGTTTATACCTGGAAGATACTGTTCACAAATTTCGCTCTGTGGCATTTAAAAATAAGCAACTATTAGAAACTTCCTATTCCATGTTAACAGAAACACAATGAAAACAGATACTGGTGAGGGAGACTAGGCAGTCTGAACAACCAAAGAATGGTTTTAAATGATCTGTGCTAATGGTCTCTCTGTGCCTGCCAATTGCTCCTACTTTGCTGGCAAATTGTCAGATTACTTGGGAAGGAACATCAGTTGTTAACCTAACACCTCCTAATCTCTCCCATATGTCCCTTCTAATGCCTAAAGCAAATCAAGGACTTCTTCCTGTTCCCCATCCAGTTAATATGACATTGGAAGCTGGGACATGTGTCTACTCTTGACTCAGTGAGTTCGTAGTGCATATGGCGGTCATCCCATCTTTGCCTGCCTCCCATCTGGTAGCCCTGAAGCCAAACTACCCAAGACAAATGAGATGGCACAGCATCCCTTAGTCACTGGTTGTTCCAACAGGCAAACATGTCCAAGGTCAGAGAGCTCCTCTTCAGATGTGGTGTAAGGGGCTCACTCTCCGAGACCCCACTTGGGTTGGCCTTCTGCCCTTGCCATAGACCACCAAGCAGATGGACTTGCTTTGTTCCCAGCACTGACTGGAGTCCTCAGTCTGTCTTGTCCCACATCTCCCTTATCCCCACATATCCCCATCCAATCACAAAATGGTTCATTTCCTTGGAGTCCAAAATCATCAGGGATGGTGACATACCACTTGCTTCCTGACACTCTGGGAAGAGGCTTTGTGGTGGGAAATGAAGCAGGCTGACCTGATAGCTCACATCAGCTCAAGTCCTTGAGAGAGGAACCTCTGCTTCCAAGTTTATGTGTTTGTTTGTTCATTTTAGTTATGGACAAGACCACAGCCCAGGGCCGAAGCCCTGTAGAGGTGGCCCAGGATATTCTTGCTGCCGTGGGGAAGAAGAAGAAAGATGTGGTCCTCGCTGACTTACTGCCTTCCTTGGCCATTTATCTTCGAACTCTGGCTCCTGGACTCTTCTTCAGCCTCATGGCCTCAAGGGCCAAAAAAGAACGGAAAGCCAAGAACTCCTAGTGCTGTGTCAGAGTTGGCAGCTCTGACCAGCCAGAACTGGGCAGGGAAGCAATACCTCCTAGACTTGGTTGCTCTACAAGGGACAGTCACATTTGTTGAAACTTAAGTGGAGATTTGTCTCACAAGAGGGAAAGAATCAAGAAACACTTCTCTTGCAGATCCCTGGCTAGGCTCCTGATGGCAGAGAAAGGGGAACCAAAAAAGGCAACAAGGTTCCTCCCAGAGGTCAGGTGTAACACTATGGAATAAATACAGAGCTGGTCTGTAACTGTGAAAATATGAAACAAATGACTGGAACAGTAAGCGTCACAGCATGCAAGGACTAGAGGAAGTATGCATCCCATCCTTGGCATTCTAGCCCCACCAGCTCCTAGAAATTGTTCCCCACCAGCGCCTAGAAATTGTTCCAATCTTAGAATCAGATGTCGAATCACCTGACCCAGTTCTCATGTTTGACTTATCAAAGATCACTTACCTAGCTGTTTTGGAGAGACTGCCTCCAGTACTCAAGTAAAAAGGCTGCAGTTTTTTTTTTTCTTTTTTTTTTTTTTTTGAGTTGGAGTCTCACTCTGTCGCCCAGACTAGAGTGCAGTGGCACGCTCCTGGCCACCGCAGCCTCGGCCTGCTGGGCTCTAGTGATCCTTCCACCTCAGCCTTCCAAGTAGCTGGAACTATAGGCATGCACTATACACCCGACTAATTTTTTGATTTATTGTAGAGATGAGGTCTTGCCAAGTTGCCCAGGCGGGTCTCGAACCCATGGGCTCAGGTAATCCATTCACCTCAGCCTCCCAAAGCGCTGGGGTTACAGGCTGAGCCACCGAGTCTGGCAAAAGGCTGCAGTTTTAAGAAATCAGTAGTCAGATCCATTTCCAGGGTCCTCATTCAACATAAAAAATGGTCTAGTATGTGATAGGTTATTTGGCATATCCCAAGCAATGTGGCTTTAGCACTTAATAGGAATTCCCATTTCCCTCTTGACTCTCACCAAAGCCTGTAGGACACCAGGCACCACTCCAAGCAGAAGATGAATTTACTAAAGAGACAGCAGCCAAAAAGGAGATGAGAACCTCACATGGCCCAGCGCATCCTCTAGCGACAAAACAGGCCTGTGATTCTACAGCAGCACCTGGTCTCCTGGTGGAAGCAAGCCATGTGTTAGCTGTTACTAGTTGGATCATAGCCAGAAAAAAGGCCTGCTTCTGCCTCTCTGATTTAAAAAAAAAAAATGCAAGGTGGAAGTTCATTGAGTAGGTCAACTTTGTTTCTAAAGTTTATTTCCTGTTAAATAAAAACGATTAGCAACGGGAGATTAATGTGTTAGACCAGCCACAGCCCAGTACCACTGGGTGTTTATTGAACATTCTTAAAAACTCAACTCACATTGTAAAACTTACTTTAGAAACTTGATATCCTACCATATAAATAGAAAACACAATGCAAGTGGAACAGTTAAAGTCTAGCCAGATAAAGCTGTTTGCCAAAGGCATAGTATGAGGCCCACTGTTCTTAAGAAAGTTGGCAAGCCCTGGAGAGGTGTCAAAGACACACTAACACCAGACACTTTTTTTGTTTTTAGTAGGGGTCTCACTGTCACCCAGGCTGGAGTGCAGCAGCGTGCTCACGGCCACCGCGGCCTGCTGGGCTCAGGTAATCCTGCCTCAGCCTTCTAAGTAGGTGGAACCATAGGCATGTGCCACCACACCCAGCTGATTTTTTGACTTATTGTAGAGATGAGATCTTGCCATGTTTCTCAGACTGGTCTTGAACCTGGGAGCTCAAGCAGTGCTCTCACCTCCACCTCCCAAAGTGCTGGGATTATAGGAGAGAGTCACCGTGCCCATCTCAGACAGGCACTCTTCTTGGCCTCAGAGGCCGAGGACTAAAAGGGCTGCAATTGTGTTCTTTAATGTGCATGTTGCTAAGGTCATCTTGGGCACCCCTGTAGTTATGCGTCCTTTCCTGGAGAGAGCACTGGTTTGGATGAATGTGGGTTTATTGAGCCTTCAGAGTTGTCCAAACTTGGACAGCAGCTGAAGTACCTTCCTGTGGGTGAGCCTCACCTGTACTGCCAGTCATGGAGTGAGGCCAGTCAGGGCCCAGTTTCCACTGATGGCCTTTGAACAACCTTTCATGTGGCTCTTGGATTTTTCAAGCCAGTATTTGAATGTGAACACTTGTCAGCAGGAGTGGTGATGTTGCTGCTGTTCTAGTTTTGCTTTTCTGTCTCAGAGTGGTTTTTTTTGGGGGGGGAGCTCTCATTCTGATTTTTGCTGGGGAGGTCTGAAAGCACAATTTTTAGTTGGTTCTACCTTCAGATATCTGTTGAAGCTCAAAGACAACTCTCCACTTTGCTCTTCAGCCCCTTGGTGTTTCAAAGGCTGTCCTGTGCTTCATGCCAAAACCAGATACTAAAAAAACCAAGTAAGCTTTTCCAGACAGTGGCACCTCCATGCAGTGCAGAGGGGCCTAGTTCACAAGTGAGTTGAAGAAATCGTGAGTGCACAGCCCCTTGGGCATGCTGCCCAGTTCACAGCACGCCCTCCTCCCTCAGCAGAGACCAGCAGTTGCTAAGCCAGATGTGAGAACCCTGGGGGGAGCTGACAGACTGGCGGGGATGCAGCTGGGAAAGCTCGCCAGGGTCTGCTCCTCTACATTTTCTTATCAGTTGTCCTTTTACAGAAAGGCTCTGTGCTCTTTTCTGAAACTGGGTGGAGATGGGGAGTTTAAACTACTAGGTTACTGACACAATCCACTCCCGGAAATGGTCCGAGTAGCACTCATTTACGTGGATGCTGCACAAGAGGGCCCAGGATAACTCAGCCTTTGCTCTCTCAGCTATTGAATGCTATTTCTTCAAAAGCACTGTGGCACATCACAGATGAGCTTAAGCCACTCGTCAGCAACTTTGCTGTGACTGCCCGTCTGAGCTGGATGGTGGTAGAACAGAGAAACTTGCATCATGCAGGGAGGAAGACATGCTGCTGCTTCTCCTCACCACCTTGCCTTGGGCACACCACAGCCCTGCCTCACTATCCACAGTGCCACCTCATCCCCATCTCCCGGGCCAGAGCCCACGTAACTAAGATGGACTTCAAAATCTGGGTTAGTCAACCCAACAAGAATCACTTTGTTCAGTGCAGCTTGGGAGATGGCAGAAGAGCCACCCATTTGCACCTGGTTTCTATTTCAGGTGAGGGCTGCTGCTCAGCTGACTTGAGGTTGTCACAGCTTGTCTGGGTTTGTTACTTCCAGCTACCACCCCCATGAAATCTGATTTGTAGGCAGAGCACTTCCAGGCCATGCACTAGCTCCTTTTCTAAATCTGGGCCGGTTTGTTACAAAAACACCTACCATTCCTGCCCAGCAGGCCAAGAAGCCAGCATGCAGATACCTGCAAGGTGACAGGCACCTGCATTCAGTTAACTTCTGATACTGCTCTGGTGGGGGGGGGGGGGGGGGCCTCTTCCCTTGGCCTAAGACAAGGATTAGTAAACTCAGGATCCACGTCAGGAACAGTTTTGGTGCTTCAGAAAAAAGTACAGGCTGGGTGTGCCTGTGATCCCAGAACTTTGGGAGGCTGAGGCAAGATAATTTTTAAGACCAGCAGTTAGAGACAGCCTGGGTAACATAGTGAGAACCCATCTCTACCAAAAATTTTTTTAAGTAGTCAGGAGTACCGGTGCACACCTATAAATCCTAGCTACTTGGGAGACTAAGGCAGGAGGATCACTTGAGCCCAGTAGGTTAAGGCTGCTATGAGCCAAGGATGACACCCATGCACTCTAGCCTGGGGTGAGAGATCCTATCTAAAAAAGAAAAAAGGAAATACAGATGTTAGTTTCTGTGTCCTTCTAAATCAGAATCTCTGGAAGAGTGATCCTGGGTCCCAGAGCTGCCCAGGTGAACCAAATGGAAACTCCTGGCCTCTAGGCCTCATCACCTTATCCTATCACATTCCAACGATGATGCCAAGATGGGCCATGAAACCGCTTCTCAGCAGTTTGGCCCCAGGACCGCCTTTGGATTAAGGCCTGTCCTTGCTGCAAGTGGTTCCACCAGGCTGCAGTGAGGGGCAGGGCAGGGCGGCCTCTGCAGCGCCTGCCTGTCCCCGTACTGGCTGCCACCAGAGCAGGTGTATAGCAGCAGCTGCAGGCAGTCATGGAAAGAGAGAACAGCGGGAATTGAAATTCTCATAATTTTAATGGTCAATAGCTTCTGGTTGGCTCTGGATGGTACAGTTAAACAATATACTTAAAGACCCCCGCCAAGCGTGTCCACACCCCCTCAGTAGCGTTTGCTTCCATCAGCATTCCACTGCCCAGTTAGATTTCCACAGCCTCAGACCCCCTTCTTGGGTTATGGAAATCCACATCTTAGTGTAATGAGCTGAAAAGACCCTTGGTACACCCGTGATCTGTGTTATTTTTAAAAAATAACAAATATTAAACCAAACACTTTCCCAGGTTCCGCTGCCTCACAGAACAAAAAATGTTACTGTGGCGACCTGAATATTCTGTTGTCTCTTGTGGGCTGGGTGGTTTTGCTTCTCTCCCTGTTCTACTGAAATCATACGGCGTAGAGTTCGTAAATCTTCTTTACACAGTACACCAGGGCGGCCAGTGCTATCGTGTTGTGCAGTCTCTTTCTGTGCAGGTCGTCCTTCCGGACGAGCACCACTGGGGTGGAGGAGGTGAGTGTGTGCAGAGGCAGGCGGGACAGTTTATAGGCATCGTACTCTACTTGGTACTTGCAGCAAGGGTCAAACTGCCAGGAGATTCCGTAGAGGGTGCAGCAGGCCAGGCTTAGCACGCCAGCGGGCAGGGAGATATAGTGGGAATAATCTAAGGGCAGCGCCAACGGGGTGAAGAGGCAGGCGGTGCCCGCCAGCACGGCCGTCTTGTGTAGGCAGTTGCCCACAGTGATCCAGCGAGCTGTCTCATCGCCGATGCGGGTGGGCTCAATCACAATGTACTTGTACTGGGCTTCCAAGGCCTGCTCCAGCTCATACTCAAACTGGTCTTGGGCGTTCTCCCCATTGTAGATCTCGTGCACGATGTAGCAGTCTGTGGCCGACAAACTCACCCTTTTGATGGAGGGGTGGGAGAGAGGGACACAAGGCAGTTAGGTTGAGAAGCATGGAACTATTTATTTAAGCTGCTGGGGGAGGTCTGAGCCTTGGACTTAGCATAAAGCTGCGCCCGGCAGGACACACCTCACTTAGGTTTTCATCTCCTTTAGACCCCAATACACAAGATAGACTTCAATACACAAGAAGTTCTGTCCCCGAAAGAATAAAATAGTGAAATATAAAAAGATGCAGGACAAGGAGTACCTCGATGTCGCCGAGGAGCTAACGCAGTGGGCCAAGTGATCTGTGAGTCAGCAAAGGAGCCCAAAGGGGAAAGCACAATTTTCAGCACAGAATCACATGAACACACCAGCAGCAGTACAAGGTCGGTAGCCCAAATGCTGTTCTTGGTGAATCAGGACAGCTGCAGGAGGACTCTTCCGTGGAAACCTTCGGACTCCTGGGACAGATAATACTAAACCTTTACCCTAAGCACGGTTCTTACGTAGTCACCCTGGGCCCACAGAACGAAAGGCAAACTCTGGCTCTCCCAGGAGGCCAGGCTGCACAGGCCCCAGTCCCCTTCATTGGTCAGCAGTGGTTGCCCATCAGCTTCTCCCTACTGTGGACACGGTCCTGACCAGAGAACAAGAGACCCAGGCCACAAGCCACTGCATAGGAAAAGCAGCCTTTCCACTGAATCAGGAAATGACAATACCTCAAGAACAGTGATGGCTTTCACGTTTAGTGGGCAGGAGGATCACGTGAGGGGCTTTTAAACCTCCAGCCCAGACAATGCCACTGATTCCAACCCTGCAGGCCCAAGACTCACTATATACTACCAGTAAATGCCATACTCACATAAGAAGCACTGTCCAGGGAGACTCACACAAGGGGTGGATCTTGTCCTTTCTTTCCCCTGGGCGCTAGAGATGGCTGACATGACCCTAACCAGCAGAAGATGAACCAAGAACCATAGGGAAGTATCAGCTCCACATCGCAGCCAGACAGAAGCCTAGCCCCACAGTGACTATGGGCTCAAGCAGCATTTTAGTAGTGTGGGCTTTCTTGGTTTGAGAACTCTCCAGTACATATTCCCCCCATGGCAGAATCTTCTCACCAATGGCAGGTAAGCAAACCTAAATACAAGGCTATGCACGCCTTGTCACCTTTCCTCTGGCTTGTTTCACCCAGTCCAGATCTTTCTGAATCTCCACACTCATCCAGCATACACTGTTTCCCCTAGTCATATGTTATCTGCTCATCTGACAAGATGCCTTCTTTATCCAAGCCTCTGACAAGGACACTGCTTGACGTAGCTCTTGAGGCTGGACCCAGTTTTTAACCCATATTAGTAGCCAGGCTGAGTAGGGCCATCTTCTGTTGCCTGCCTCAGTAAAAAGGAGCTCCTTCCCCTCAGCAACCCTGGTCCCAGGCTGATCAGACCCCATCACAAAGGAGATGACCCCAGAACCCTAGCGGTCACTGTACTCCCTGCCCTAGTCTGTACCTCTCCAACTAGAGGCTTTAGGACAGTGTACCAGGCCACACAGAGGTCAATGTGGCCTGTCTACCTGCAGCTCTGAATGTCTCCAACAGGAACTGGCTCTTTTGGTGGCCAATGAGAAAGCCCTCAGTGCACACAAATATAAGGTCCAGCCCACTAGGCCTGCCCCAGCATGCACACGCCACGTGGCCATGCAGAAACGAGGGAGCTGGGTCAGCTAGCTGGCCAGTGACTGTAACACAGGAGTGGTGACTGAAGACGTTTAGAACAAGGCTGCCCCCAACCTCAGCTCAGCATTAAGGTAACCCTAGTCCGCCTTCAAAGATGGGTGCAGATCTATGTGAAAGAAGGTGGAACTCGGACTGTCAGGGCAAACTTCAGGGAAAAAAGACGGCTGATGATAGAGTCTGATGGACCAGACTCCTTCCAGCTGTTATTTCTGGGCAAGGTCAGGCATGTTCAAGGCTCACTTTAGCAAACAAATCAGCAAGCCTAAGAGGCAGGGTTTAATTCTGGTTGGATAAACAACTGATGAATGCTCTCATGTGGTCACATTAAAAACAAAAGTTGTTGGTAATGGGGTGACTATGCTTCCAAGTGCAGAGAGTAAGGGCTTCACTTCCAGGTGGGAACCATTTCATAAAAGGCGCTGGCTTGGCTCAAAGGGAACTCTTTATCCTGAAAAAGTAACTGTAATTAAGCTGGGCTAAGGCCAAGCCTCCTAATTAAATCACAGGCCCCAATTAAACTGTGTGCACCAGGGAGAAATCAGTTCCCTGGGGGTCAGACCAGAAGCCTCCTGAACATGGGAGGGTGCCAGAGCCGCTCACAGCGCTGTGCTGGTGTCAGGCTGCCTTTACAGGGGTAGCTGAGAGCTGTTCCTGTAAGACTGCACTGGAAGTTTACAAAATGGGAAGAGAAGGGTTTTCTCTTAAAGTCCTTATGGAACTCCACCATTTGGTCTTAACTCAGGAGAGAGAGATGGGAGGGAGGTCGTGTTGGTTGTTACTCCTAGGCAGGATTCAGCATTTTAAAAGCCACTTTCAGCAAATAAGCAAACCTGAGGCAGGGTCTTCACGCAAGCAGAAGGACTGAGGGCAAGTAACATGCTCACGTGGTCACACTGGAAATTCACAGTGGAAATGAGCTGGCTGTGCCCCCAAGTGTGCAAAGAGGGCCAGAGGCCTCCATCCCAGATGGGTGCACACCTGGTCAAGAGATTCCTTTGTAGGCTCAAATCCATTAGCCACGAGAGGCCACAGAATAGGGGACAGGCAGGGCTCAGTCATGGACCCATCTGTGAGGAGACCGAAAGGAGTCACTTCCAAGTCAGTGTATGTCCTGCTGACTATCAAAGCAACACCAGGGGATGCCTCACTGCTGGGCATCAGAGGCGTGCTTTCATCAATCTGGAACACTCAAAGCAAAACGGAGCTGTCAAGTTGGGGTTGGCAGAATGTTCCTGCCAAAACCCAAATCTACCCTAGCATCGTCCCCTTCTCTGCCCAGCAGACCAGTAGCCATCCTGAGGTAGTGGGAAAAAAACAACAACCCTGTTTGTCCCACTAAGAAAGTTCCAGTGGAAATCCTGGCACCTGGAACAGACTGCTTCATCTTGGAAACACATCAGTGGGCAGAGCCTACCTCCCCCCATCCCTAACCTTCCCCAGCTCCTGCAGCCTCACCCTCTGCAAGCCCAGCTGGCACCCACATCCACCTGGGCCCGCCTTTCCTGCCCCTCTGCAGAGGCAGGTGTGGTAAGTAAGGCTCGCTCCTATCACCTGTCAGGACAGATGAATGGGTGTGAGGGGGACTGCTGTGTTCACGAGCCCCAACCTGCATGGGAGCCAGTGAGAGGCCAGCACCCTCCTGGCTCCTGCCTCACTAGTACTGTCAGGCACACCCTGCCCCACAGCACAGGGAGTGACAGTGAGGAGACACAGCAGTTGCTCCTGGGTCAGTGGTGTTGGGTTCTCGCCAGGACACAGGCACCCGCTGCCTGGCTGTGCGCAGTCTTGTGAACACCGCTGCTTTGAGTGAACAAGCAGAGACACAGGTGTGCTCACCAGTACACACATCCCAGATGCAACTTCATGGATCAGCTCCCTGCTGCCCACCTCAGCATCTTCATGTGGGCAGAAGACATTCCATTCCTACCCACTGTTTAAACCAACTATACACAGTGTGAAAACAAAGCACCTACCGCCCTGAAGCTCCTTCAAACAGAGGCAGTCGGTGAGTCAACCCAATGGCAGTCACCACTGCCCCTGACTGCCCGGAGAAAGAAACACACCAATTGTGTTTTAAAAGCCAATTAAGCAATGGGATTCTCAGTTTCCTTGGGAAAGGATAGTCTGAAGTCTAGAGAAGTAGGCTTCTTGGATTCCACAATGATGTATAAGGAAGGAGACAGCAAGGTTCAAACCAAACCACACACAAAGCCGGAGGATCCCTTTGTCAGAGTTCACATACTGGCAGAAATGGGGTGCCATCTACTACTGCACACCTAGGTTTTAAATCACAGCTGCCAGGGCTCCCGGGCTCAGGCCTGCATCACTGATATGGACTGCTGGGTGGTTGACACTCCCAGGAGAGAGCCATGTCCAGCCACCACTCAACTATCCTGGCACCCGTCCATGTGTGGCTTGCTTCTGCTTCAATCATAACTCACCTAAGGTAAGAACCCAGTTAGAAGGTGTCTTTGAATCATTTCAGAGCTTCATTAGCTGACTCCAACTTGCAAGGTTGTGGGCCTTAGGACCTGGGCTACCCGGACCCTGGTGATGGAAGACTTTTTATAAAGCACTAGTTGGACTTCCTAAGGGACTATATTTTTGCTTTTCACTGTGGATGTGTAATGACCACAAGAAAGAGAGCGTAATGAAGAGTCCATATTTTTTTTTTAAAAAAAAGGTGGCGCCAGTGGCAGGAAAGTCTGAGAAGTCAAGGGGAAAAGGCAAGGCACAGTACTGTGTTTATTGGATGCTATCTGTAGTGTATTTTTTAAAAGTATCTATTTGCTTTTATATGCACAGAACATTTCTGAAAGGATACACAAAGACCTGACATAGGAGAGAACTGAGCGGCTCAGGAAAGAAAAGGGAGGAAACCCGTTTTTATTAAATGATTTTTGATCCCTTTGAAATTGGCACGATCTCTGGCACTTAGGAACAGTGTCATTGTTCTAAATGCACTTTGCCAAAACTGGGGTCATTCTGCATTCTCTGAGCCTTCGGCTCTGAGGACAGGGTGTCAACCTGTTCAAGCACCTCACAGGAGACTGCTGCAGACACTGCCCTGGGAGACCCACTGTGCTTCCTCAGGGCTACAACCAATTGGGACCGGGCACCTTAAACCGGCCTGCCTGCCTTAGCTTCAGCCAGAGCTGGCCTTCAGGTCCTAATATCTCCACCTCTGAGCCCAGCAGTCAGCAAAGGAATCCCCTGGGGAACACTGGCATTCCAGTCAAAAGGCAACCACAATGAAAACCCAACAGGACAAACTCCAT